TAAAGAAACACTCACAGATGTGCATATAGCTGTGTGCACAAGGATGATACGAGCAAACTATTGGAGAGGGCGGGGGGGGGGTCTAAATGACCATTTATAGCCAGTAGCTTGCAGAGTAAAATTAATGACTGGGATTCATGTTATACACACAGCATCCACTGGATATGATCCAAAATGAGTGGGACCTGTGTGTACCTGCAGGGGCAAGGGGGAGTGCTTTCTACAGGACACGCTATTAACAGAGAACAGCAGGTGGAACAAGTGTGTTGCAGAGAAAAGTGTCCGACCCCAAGAGGCTAGTGCCTGATTCCTGCGGAAGGAATGGGGACTGGGTTTTCTTCACCGCAGGTCTGTCCCACATCACTCACAGGGCAATCTCAGAGGAGGGGCTTGGGGAGGGCTGGCTCAGGAGCCTGGGAGGGGGTGAGCCGTTCCTTTGAGTGTCATTCATTTATTCACAAATGCAGTGGGCTGCCAGTTACCTTTAGGACTTGGATGAAGATACAATGAGAAGCTTATCCAGACTGACAGTGGGAGGACAGGAATCCCCAGATCCTAACTGTCTCCAGGAAGTCAAGCCTCCTGGAGTAACCTTCACAGGGCCCAGAATGAGGCCCTGACACCCAGCTAGGCCCTTTCATGGCAGGGAAAGGGGGTTCCATGTCACTTTGGGAAGGTACCCTTGGGAGCCACAGGGAAATCTTGGAGGTGCAATAACAGGAGTGCCATCCAGAATGGAGGAGACAGGCCCCCTGCTAAGGGATGGAGACTTAGCCCTAAGACTAAGGCTAGGGCTTTCTCAAAGTGAACACATTAAGAAAGTTGTAACAAAATAGGCTCAGTAAATTTTGGAGGGTAGTGCTGATTATCACCTCCACTTTACATGTGAGGTGACCTTTATGTCTTCTTCCCCTGTGTCCCTTCTTGAACTTCTGTGGGCTGCACTCCTAATTCAATGCTTTAAAACTGTTTCATTAGCAAGCACTTATTAAATGTTTATTATATTCCAGGAACTGTTTGAAATTCTTTACAAATATTAACTTACATAATACTCTCACAACAACCTATTGAGTTAGGTAGTTTTGTTTTCTCCATTTTACAAATGAGGCACCTGGGAAACAGAGAGGTTTAGAAACCTACCAGAGGTCACACAGCTGGGAAATCATGGAGCCAGGATTTGAACCAAGGCCATGTGGATCCAGAGTTCCATCCTCGTAACCACATACTACAGTGCCTTATTGTTTTCTTTTTGTGCTTGTGTGTGTGTGTGTGTGTGTGTGTACACTAGATCCCCAGGGCTTATTTACGTTATGACTGGAATTTTGTACCTTTTGAGCCCCTTCACCCATTCCCCAACCCCCACCCCACCGCCCTGCCTCTGGCAACCACCAGTCTGTGCTCTGTTTCTATGAGTTTGGTTTTTTAGATTCCACCTATAAGTGAGATTATTCAGTCTTTGCCGTACCCTGACTTATTTCACTTAGCATAATGCACTCCAGGGCCATCCATTTTGTTGAAAATGGCAGGATTTCCTTCTTTTTTATGGCTGATCCCAAGCACCTCTTAAGTGCCATCCTACTTAATCCTCACTAGGCCCCTTGAAGAAAACACTGTCACCCCTGTCGGCGATGAGGACACTCAGGCCCAGAGAAGGCACTTAACCGGCTCTGTCACCCAGCTAGGGCAGGTGCCAAAGCCCACGAGGACAGCAGCTGGGGCAGTCCTGGCACTTATGCTGCCCCAGCCCCTCCCAGGGTCCCTTCCCTGTCCTCACAGACCCAGCCCTGCACTCTGTCATCCTACCTCCTGCGGGACACCCAGCCCACTCCTGCTCTCAGAGACCCTCTCCCTTTCCCCCCAGCCCTGCGGGAACTGCCCTGGACTCCTGGTCTGGGTCTGGATTTCATCTGGATCCTGGAGAGATTTTCAGTTCCGCCCTCACAGGGACTTTTTGAGAGACCCCTATTTGTGGGCAGGAGCAAGGTGTCCTGAAGACACCTCTGCCCTTGCAGGGAGCTGGCAGGGTCCTGAAGGGATCCTCTGAGGCAGCACTGAGTGCTGGGTGAGAGGACACAAATGGGGTGAGGGTGTAACTGAGGCCCTGTGAATAGGGCTGTGGGAGGGGGCTAAAGAGGCCCCTGGGTGGAAGGGGAGGCCTGGTGGCAGGCGAGGGGAGGTTTGGGAACACACGTGTTGGGGTGTCCGGCAGTCCTTGTCCAGACACCTGCACCATTCATAGTCTGCTGCCCACCTCCCCCCAGATGCCCACAGGAGACTCTCACTCTCCCAGGCTGCCTCCCGCTCACTCTCAACAACTAGGCCACTTTAATGGCCTAGAATCTTGAGCTGAGGAGATTATCCTGGACAGGAATGTGGAGCTTTGGGTAAGGCATGCCCCACGTGTGCTGAGGATCATCATCCCCTGAGTTATGTAGATACATAACCCCTAAATTATGTAGATTAAGCCACGAGTATAAGATACCATGCTCTGTGTGTATGTGTAAGAGAGAGACAGACAGAGAGAGAGAGGGAGGGAAGGAGAAGAGACAGAATCAGAGAGTCAGACACAGAGAGAGGTGGAGCCAAACAGCCTCTCTGTAGGTTCATAAAAGGTAGTGATCTGGCCACTAGCAAACCCTAAAATCCATCCTACAATTCTAGGTCCATAAACAATCCATTCTAAGGAGGTCTCCCCTGACCTCTGGAGGTATGGTCATAACTTGAGGCAGTGGCTTAGGGGCACAGGCTGTGGAGAAAGCTGGAGTTCTAACCCTGGCTCCTCCACTACTCCCCATCTGCGTGACACTGGGCAAATCATAGAACCTTGCTGGGCCTCAGACTCTCACTTGTAAAATGGAGACAGTGGCAAGTATAACTCATGCAAAGCACTGGCACATGGCAAGCCTAGTGCAAACAGTACCTGTTATGATCAACAGTGTCACTATTATTATTATTTTTTTTTTTTAGGTAAGAAGTGGATTTATTTAGAGAGAAACACACTCCACAGAGTGTGGGCCATCTCAGAAGGTGACAAAGGCCACTATTATTCTTAAGGCCATCGACTGTTGCTGGATTTTTCTCCCTTGTGGGATGGGGACCTTGCTACTCTTAGAGGTAAGCCCTATCTGTCCACCCCTGTGGACCCATTTGGGGACAGTGACAGTCACCACAAGGGCTTGGGGGCGGGAAAGGAGGTGTGATACACAGAATAATGACCCCCACAAAGATGTCCACATTCTAACCCCCAGAACCTATGAATGTGTCACCTTACATGGCAAAAGGGACTTGGAGGATGTGATTAAGTTAAGAATCTTGAGCTGGGGAGATCATCCTGGATTATCTGGATGGCCCCTGTGTAATCACAAAGATCCTTATAAGTGGAAGAAGGAAAACCAATGTCCATATGACCAAATTCTGAGTCATAACAAAATCTTAACAAATTTAAAAGAATTGAAATAATGCACAGTATGTTCTCTGGCTGTAATGGAACTAAACTAGAAATCAATGAGAGAAAAATATCTGAAAAATTTCCAAACGTCTGAAAATGAAAGACACTTGTAAATAACCCATGGGTGCATCAAAGAGTAAGTCACAAAGCAAATTAGAAAATATTTTTAATTAAATGACACTGAAAACACAATGTAACAGAGTTTGTGGTATGCACCTAAAGCAGTGCTTAGAGGAAAAATTATGACATTAAATACTTATGTTAGAAAAGAAGGTTATAGGAGAGGAAAAATTTTCCCTTGACCCTCTTAGGGTCCTTGGTTGGGTCTGAAAAGTAAAATGACAGATTAACAGGAGAAAAGTATGCAAATTCATTTAATATGAATTTTACATGACACGGGAACCTTCATAAGGAAATGAAGACCTGAGGAAACAGACCTGAGTAGTTTTATTCTAGGTTTGATGAAGCCTAGACAGTCATAGAGAAATATGATAGGGTCAGAGAGCATGTGGTAAGTGTAGTAAACTGGGGGAAAGTTAGCAAGGCCTGTTTGTTCAGATTCTTAATAGGGTTCCTTTGTCTTCAGAGATAAGAATGCTCTTTTCCTCTGGGTATACGGAGGGCACCTCTCACATGAGGGTGTATGAACTGTTTCAGGGGAGAGGGCAGAAGGAAGGTCAGAGTGACCTCCCTGCTTCTGCTGTTTTCTCCACTTCCTTCAGCTTAAAGTTTTCAATAGGCCAAGGTGCCATATTTGGGAGCAGCATGTCCTGAACTCCATCAAGTCCTCCTATCAATGATCTAAGCTTCCACCTCATGAAATTAGAAAAAGACAAACAAAATTAAGCCAAGCTGAAAGAAGGAAATAATACAGAAAAGAAATCAAGAAAACAGAATAACAAGAGGGGAAAAAATCAATGAAACTAAAAACTAGTTCCTTGGAAAGATCAATGAAACTGATAAAACTCTAGCCAGACTGACCAAAAACACAAACAAACAAAAATCAAAGAGGAGACAAATTACCAATATCAGGAGTGAAAGAGAGACAGAGGGGGAAATGGGGAGGTCATGTGTAATGGGTACAGGGTTTCAGTTTTGCAAAATGAAGAGTTTTGGAGATGGATGATAGTGATCATTCACAGAAATGTAAATGTACTTAGTGCCACAGAACTGTACACTTAAAAATGGTTTAAAAGGTAAAATTTGTGTTATGTATCTTTAACCGCAATTTTAAAGTAAATAAATAATTGTTTAAATGAAGCAATGGTTGTTACCAGGACCCCAAAGCAAAATGTTTCGTGCAGGAGGGGGAGGCTGCTTACCCGCAACTGCTGCAAATGCTTGTCCTGCAAGTACTGGAATTCCAGGTGCCCAAGACCCTGACCGACCTGAGCTGAGCAGCCTGGAGGGGCTGGTGCCTCTTTGGGGAATTCATCACTGGATTCTCAGCCTCATGATTCCCAGCAGACACATCTGGTGGTCTCTTGTCATCCTGAGGCCTTTGTCCCTATGACATAGACCAATTTGTGCAACTATAAGCCTTACCTGGGGCCTAGATAAGTATCTTTTCTCTAAGGAGCCCTGGCTGAGGGGGGCTGACACCAGTCTTCAGCATGACTTCTGACCCAGCCACACAGTTCCTGACAAAGGTCTGTGATCCAAAGCCTGAGCAATAAAAAGAGATTTCCACACACCTTTAATGCGTAAACTTGAGTGTAAACTGACCAGATGTCAGGGATTTATCTTCTTCCATAAGAAATAAAAAACCAAAAGCAACTCCCTACATTCCCTCATTCCCTGCATTTTCTGTCATCCTTTGAGTGCCTCTTCACCTATTTTTCTAAATCAAAGATAGTCATCAGGTGACTTGGGGGAAAGAGCAAACATCAGCCAGTTTTCCCTGGCTTTCAGCTCACTGAAAACACTCCAAAGTTGATACAACCTAAGAATTTCTGTTCCCATGGGCCATCTTTTGGCCTTTACAAAAGGTTATTGTCAAGGCTAGGGGACACCAGGGTTTGTAAGTCTATGGGCAACACACAACTTCAGTGCTCTGTAAACTCTTCCATTGGGAAGGGAAAAAAATGAATTTCCAAGATTTTGTAGGAAATTGCCATAATATTATTTTCAGAACTCAATAAAGAGACCTTAATTGGATTAAGTGTATGTTTATATTTTAATCACCCATTAATTAAGAAAAAGTAGAAAAGTACATTTTTTTTTGGCTACACTGTGAGGCTTGCAGGATCTTAGTTCCCCAACCAGGGATGGAACCCATGCCCCCTGCAGTGGAAGCGTGGAGTCCTAACCACTGCACCACCAGGGAATTCCCTAAAAGTAGATTTTTTTGTTTTTTGTTTTTTAAAATTTTTTATTGAAGTGAAAAAGAATAGATTCCCAAAAAATCTCCTGGAAATCAGGTAGCTAATATGAAACATTCAATGGAAGACTTGAAAAAACAAGCTGAGCAAATCTTCCAGAAAGTTGAATAAACAGACAAAAGGAGTGAAACAATTTTTTTAAGTCTTAATAAAGGTGATCTAGAATTAGATTTTAAAACTTTCCAGATACTTAGATACTGAGAACAGAGGAAAAGGCAGAGAAAATTATCAAAGAAATAATGCAAGAATGTGCCTTAGAAATGAAGACCATGTGTATCCAACACAAATGAATAACGACTTAGACAAAGGGATATTACTATAAAATTTCAGAATACCAAGTAAAAATAAAAATAAATAGTAGATCCTCCCAAAAAAGAAGACAACCCAGGGACTTCCCTGGTGGCACAGTGGTTAAGAATCCTCCTGCCAAGGCAGGGGACACGGGTTCGATCCCTGGTTCAGGAAGATCCCACAGGCTGCGGAGCAACTAAGCCCGTGTGCCCACAACTACTGAGCCTGCACTCTAGAGCCCATGTGCCACAACTACTGAAGCCCGTGCACCCTAGAGCTCATGCACCGCAACTACTGAGCCTGTATGCTACAACAACTGAAGCCCACACACCTAGAGCCCATGCTCCACAACAAGAGAAGCCACCGCAATGAGAAGCCCACGCACTGCAATGCAGAGTAGCCCCCGCTCATCACAACTAGAGAAAGCCTGCACCCAGCAATGAAGACCAATGCAGCCAAAAAAAAAAAGACAACCCAATAAAACATGTACAAAACATGTGAACAGACAAGAATAAATGTGGATGAAAACTTAGCACATGAAAATAGGCTCAACATGTTGAAATGCAAATTCAAACCCCAAGGAGATGCCACGCACTCCTTTTAGAATGGCTAAAATTAAAAAGACTGACCATCCCAAGAGTTAATGAGGATGTGAAGCAACCCTCATACACCGCTGGTGAGAATGCAAAATTTTACAGCCAGTTTGAAAAATATTTTGGTGGTTTGGCACTAAAGCTGTAAAAATAAATAAATAAATAAACTCCAGATGAATTAAAGAGAAAGAATTTATGGGACAAGCAGAGCAAAGAAACATATGTATGGTGAATGTGAATTAAGACAGAAGACAATATTAAAAGCAAATAGATGGTTATAATTAGAAGTACATAGGGGTTCTAAGAGTCCTGGGTTGGAAACTAGCTGCACCAGGGACTAGTGATTTGACCTTGAACAAGATACTTCTCTTCTCTTCCATCACTTGACCTATAAAATGAGGATAACAGAGCAGTGAGGTTTCTTTTTTTAAAGGGTAGTAACAGAGAGATTGAAATGTACTTATAGTGAAGCAGTACCTAGAGCACTCACACCATCCCCTGGGAGAAGCCATTCCTGACCACCTGGGTTACAGGGCTCTCCTCTGTATACTGAGCATCCCTTGGCTCTCCCCTAAACATGGCTCTCATCATACTTGTTCTATCATCATTCTATTCTGGATGGTTCTCTACTCATTAACTCTGAGCTCTTTGAGAACTTATATCCTGCCTGAATCAATCATTCCTATATCCTCAGAGCCTGCCTAGCCCAGAGCAAGGAGCTTGATTCCCAGCAGGGGCTCAGACAAAATTGTTTTTTGTCTTTGGTTTTGCGTTTGGTTTGGTTTGGTTTGGTTTGGCTTGGTTGATGGGGAGGTTTTGTCTCAGTGATGATGACACTAGATAATCAAGTTTAGAGGATGATGAAGTTCAGGACACGCTACTCCAAAATATGGCACCTTGACATGTTGAATATTTCCAGCTGAAGGAATTTAAGAAATGCCAAGTACAGGCAGGATTTTCTGACCTTTCTCTGAAACAGGTCATAAGACCCTCATGTGAGAGGTGCCCTCCCTCTACCCAGAGGAAAGGAGCATCCTTATCTCCAAAGACACAGGGACACGGACAAGAATCTGAACAGACAGGCCTTGATGTTTCCCCTAGTTTATTACACTTGGCTCACATTCTTTTTTATCTTATCACATTTTTCCAGGACTTTCCACTCTACATCAAATCTAGCAAAAAACGCTCAAGTTTAACCACTTCTTCGGGTCTTGTAAAACTTACATTAAACAAATTAATATGCTTTTCTCTTGTTATCTGTCTTTTGTTATAGCAGCCCCAGCCAAGAACTTCGAAGGGTAGAGAAAAAATATATTTTTCCTCCCTACACCATTATTAAACCAGCATTTGGTTATTGGAAATAATACATTATAAACAAGAGATCATAGGAAATCTCTCTTTGCAAACTTCTGTTCTCTTAGAGGGGGATGTGCAGGAAAGGGTTACCTCAGTGGGCCTGGGTTGTTCAAATCCTGCACATACCAAAGAAAAGCCTGCCTCTGGGATTGGCCCTTGGATGGCTCCTGAGAGATAACTTCTGAGCCCTTCGAATATTTTGCCTGATAAGAGTTTTTGCATGTTTGAGACCTTGGGCCATGCTGTACCAGCAGGATCAAATAAGTTTATCCTAACAATGTGATTTATGATGAATGTCTGGTTTTGCTCTGGGGAGATATGGTCTGAGTAACTGAGATCAGTCACATGAACTCTGCATGCCTATGTGACTGACTCCCAAAAAAAACCATGGACACCAAGGCTCAGATGACCATCCCTGGTTAGCAACATTTCACATGTATTGTCCCACACCATTGCTGGGAGAATATATAAGCATGTCCCCATGCAACTCTACTGGGAAGGGACCACTGGGAAAGGAATCTTGCACCTGGTTTCTCCTGGACTCCGTCCCATACACCTTTTCCCTTTGCTGATTCTAATCTGTATCCTTTCACTGTAATAAACCAAACCATGAATATAACAGCTTCTGAGTCCTGTGAGTTCTTCTAGCAAATCATCAAGCCTGAGGGTGATCTTGGGAATCTCTGGCACAGGGAGCTTGTGCCCTTTACCCCACACTCTTGCCAGAATCAACTAGTACCAGTGTATTGCCCACTTTTATATTTATAATGAAACTTGGTCACTGCTACTTTCTCAGATCAGCCTCCAGGGGCTGCACTGGCTAATTTGCTAAAGTCTTCCCATGTACAAAGGGGCTAAGGAAGAGACTAGGCTCTCAATAAATACTTCTTGAATAAACACAACACTGCCAATCTGGTTATTTTAGTTTTAAGTGTAAGGTATAGATGTCACTCAGCCTTATATCAACAGAATCAAGTATGTGAACCCAGTGATCAGTGGGTGTGGGAAGTCCAGTTGGCCTCTTTCACCCTCACGAGTCTCCTCTCCTTGTTTTCCTCCTGCTTTGTGGCCACCCCACTCATCACTTTTTTTCTAGGTTCCTTCCCTGTGTTCCTCCTTTGCACTTCAGCTGCTCTTCTGTTTATGTGTCTTCTCCCACCAGTGTAATATCCCCCATGGCAAACACCATATGTATCCATATGCTACCTCACTTATTTCACCACAGCAATCATTTAGTGTAAATATTTTAATCCCTATTTTGGAAATGGAGAAACACAACCAAAGGATATAGATACCTTTCCCACCATCACACAGTGCGTGTCAGAGGCAGGATTGAAACCAATGGCTATTTCATGCCATGGCCTATAAACAGACAGATTAGGTAGAACCCAGGTCGTTTGGCCTCAGCCAGTTGCCCTGCTCCCTTTCCCTCTTCTACCTACATTCTAATCCTTTCATACAACTCTACAGCCTAGGGACTTCTCACATATTTTGTAGCAAACTGGGATACCCTACGTTTAGTCTTTTTATTTGAACCATAGATTTTCAGTCCTTTTGGGTAAGGAAATATCTTTAAACCTGCATTGAGGGAGAAATAATTGCATTTATTATTCCTTAAGCAGGATGGATTCTGAGCAGGGTCTTTTCTTCAGAACTTTTTTGGGGTGTTAAGATAAAAATGGGAGCTCAGAGATGTAGCTTGCTCTCATTGTATATAGTAATAGGGGTATAAGGCTGGAATCAGGCAGTTGGGGGCTTCTGAGTGTGACCTGTGACTGTCAGGCCAGTGGAGGATTTTGCAGAGGAAATAGAGATTTGTGGCTGCTCCCTCCCCACCTCTGAATAACTTGGAAGGATAGGTGTGTTTGCAGGGGATGTTGTGGCATTTTGCCATGAGGCTTATGGCATAAGTTTTTTCTCTGTCTCTCCACAAACTGTCCCCAAAAGGTTTAGTGTTCTAGTTATATTTTTCTGTAGCACTGTAAGATAAGCATGTTATTATTTTTAAATGTTTGTTTTTAATATCAATGATTTCTTCTGGAATACCATCTGGGGCAACGCTTCATCTGCAGTATGTGGTCTGTGTTTCACATATTGGGAAACCCTTCCTTCAAGAGAAGAAAAAAGCCTTCTAGGTGAAACAATTTTATATATTTTTAAATTTAAATTAAATCTTATAAAAACATCACATTATAACTGAAGTCATCATATACACCATCAGTTCTGTACTCAACACTTCAGGAGCTTTTACTCTGAGAAAAGAGCAAGGGTTTTGAACTTCGAACTTGAACCCCCAATCTGCTTTTTACTGGGTCAGAGATTCTCAATTTTGTGAAAACTCTTTCTTTGTGAGGATCTGATGAGGTCATACATGTACAGAATCTAGCACACAAAAATGGCTAACAGTACATACTCTATAAATGTGAGTTTTTATAGTAAATCCTATTATTATTAGATAAAAGAACTCAATAGATGAAGCTATGGTCATAATTGTACACAGCTCCAGGGTTGGTCAGCCATTCGTGACCATACAGGACAGATCAAAATCATCTAGGCAAGTTAACAGAGCCATGACTTTTAACTTTCTGTGTAGAGGAGATTGGTATCAGCATAGAAACAGGAGCAGGTACCTTTCAGAGTGACAGCATCATTAGAGGTATCTTGCAGGGAAAATGGGCACCTCACAAAGTTTGAAGGGATGGCAACCTGGAGCTGCCCCTTCTGTCTCTACCTTTTAAGTAAAGTCTCATCTTCAAAGAGAAAGGCAATTCAGAAACAGCTGATCACAGGAAAGCCTGGCCCTACATTACTCACAGCCTTGAAGCTCTAGAGAATAGAAGAAGAGGTTTTACATCCCAGCTCATTGTATGAAGCTAGCATAACCTTGATACCAAAGTCGAAGAGAGTACATCAAATAAAAGTACAGGCTAGTGTCACTCATGAGGACACACATAATCCTAAACAAATTATTAGGACATAGATTACTCATGACCAAACTGTGTTTATTTTAGGAATACAAAGTTGGCTTAAACATGGAAACTTATCCATTTAATTCAACCATTAACATATTAATAGAGGGGAAAATCTTATGATCATCTCAATAAATGCACTTTAAGTGTTTGGTGAAATTCAACATGTAACCAACATGAATACTCTAAGCAAATTAATAATAAAATAGAATGACTTTGATAAAGTATATCTACCAAAAGAAAAGCACAGTAAACACCATGGTGAAATATTGAAAATTTTCCATTTCTCATCAGGGAAAAACAAGGATATCCACTATCACCACTTCTGTTCAACATTATTTTCCTGGGTGGTTCTATCTACTTTAAAATGAGAAAAGGAAATAAAAGCTATAATGTTTAAAATGGCAGGAACAAAACTTATTATTATTCAAAGATGATATGATTATGTATGTTGAACACTGAAAAGGATCTAAAGATAAACTTTAGGACTTAATAAGCATATTTTAGCAAGGTTGCTAGGTAGAAAAAACAATACATAAAAATTAGGTCTCTATATACCAGATCAAACAAAATATAAAATTTCCAAAAAAAGGTACAATTTTCAATAGCATCAAATACCTAGGAATAAATTTAACAGAAGACATGCAGGACTTGTTTGGACAAAACTGCAAAACTTTACTGAGAGAATTTTACAGTCACATTTCCAACACAAGAACAGCCTGCATGGTTACAGTTTGTCTTCATTTAAACCTGTGGTTGCCCTTCACCTGTAAGATAACATAACATTTGGGAATATTAGTTACAACTTTATTCAGATGACGCTAAAGGGATACAGAGGACACTACAGTCTTAGTTTTATAAAATGGACTAAAACCAGAACCCTAAGGGTGACCCTTGGCTTATATACAATTAAACCTCTGTAGAGACTTTGAAGGTAGACTTTCAGGCACTTTAACAATATTTGCTAAACACATCACTCTTTCTAGTGGTACAGAGAAACAAAGAGACTGTTCAAGTTCAGAACTGATTAAACCCAATGCTTCCATTCAGAGGTAGTTTTAAGTAGAAAGCAACATTTTTTTTTATACTTTTAGCAAAAATCCAACCAAACAACAAATAAAAAACCTAAGAAACAAAAGAATTTTTTTAAAGTTCATTTAAATGTTTTGACTTGAAAAAAAATATTCTTAATATAGGATATCTCAAACAGTAATGTCACACTTAGAATTGCTTAAATGGAAAACAGAAAGGCTAGTATTGCATTTGTTTTGGCTCTACTGTGGAAAAGTACAAAACTTTCTATGAGCCAGTTTAGCCCTTACATAGTAGTAGGTTAACCATTTGTCCCTGTTTTCATCCATACTCCTGCTATGAGTAGTGACGCTCTACACACCTAAAAGCATTCCAGTTTGTATAATAAATTATATGGTTACACTAGTTTTAAGTCATTACCATCAAAAGTAACATCACATTGTGAAGGAAAATAGTACCATGTCTCACAGTCCGGAAGAAAAAAAAGGACAGAAGTGGGGTGGAGAGAAAGGAAAATAACCTGGAGAGCCAAATATCTAGATAGACAGATAATACAGTCAATATCTGTTAGTGTCTTTTTCATAATCCTTATTGTATACACTTAGCCTTTTGTCTGTTTTCTGCAAGATTATTTAAACTAGTGGATCTTCTATTCACAAATATTTTCTAAAAGAGCAATCTCATTGATTTATTAGTTGTATTATTTTTCCTTTTCCTAATGATTCATACCTTTTATTAAGAATCCCCTTCCTAAAAAAAAAAAAAAAAAAAAAGAATCCCCTTCCTTTTCCCCTTAGATTTATTTTGTTGCCTTATTATTATTTTCTTATATTGGATGCTCATGTAATTTTATTATCTTTTTTAATAGCATATGTATTTAAGGCTATGATCTTCCTATGAGTACATTTTAGCCATGTTCAATAGGTTCCTGAAAGTAGCCTGAAAACTATCTTTTAACGTAAAGAGTCTGGAATGGACCAGGAATGTAAAGTGAAAATATTTAGAAGACTAATGCAGGGTAATTTCTTCTCTAAACATCAAGTGCTTCCTTTAAATTCAGAAGCTGTGTGATTAATGGTCAGTAATTTGGAAAACACACATGTAAAACACACTTAAATTGATTACTCAGTAAGTACTTCAGTTATGGTCTTTGAAATTCAATCTTACCAATTTGACGCCTCAAGGTGCAAAATTTTCATGCATTTGACATGGTTAGAGGTGATTATATCATGCTGTCCACATTTTATTAGGAACAGTAGCTCACTAAGACTGACAGTGGGGACAGGGAGCATGCTCAGCACAGGTATCTTACTAACAGTCACCTTGACCATCACTGACTACATGAACTCTCTACTTGATCAGCCACAGAGACCAGAAACTAGACTGTCTCTTGATATTTTACTATTCAGTCATCTGAGGCTTCATTCGGGGAAGGATTTAAAATGCAATTGTTCACATTTTTGTCAATTATACATCAATAAAACTGGAAGAAAAAATAAAATGCAATTGTTCTTTAAGAGCCAGATAATTCAGAATTCAACAGAATCTGAGGACAGGCATTCAGAACTCCAACAGAAAAACAAATATCAAACAAAGTGTTAGTTCATTTTCTTAGTAGTGATGAAACCTCAATTCAAATGTAATTTGACTCAGGTCAGGATTTGATGATTTATGATAAACAAAATCACATAAAGCAGCTTATCTTTGTATTCTATGCAACAGAACCAGAGTAAGTAAAAATGAGAATTGAAAATAATTTTTAAATATCTGATTTGAAGTCACTATTTTTATAAGAGCAAAGATGGGTTTAGAAGTTAAGGGATTTGCCTGGAGTCACACAAATTATGTTGGAGCTGGTACTGGAACCTACTTCAGCGCTTCAGCATATTTCATACAAACTGATGTGTGTTACAAATTCATTACACATTTGTTAAATGCAGATCTCTATAAAAGCATCTGAAAATTATTAACTGTTGGTTAAAAGGCTTATACTTAAAAGTAAGAAAATGCTTTCATTTTATAATTCAATATGGCTTTGACCCAATTTGTTTCTATACCTGATAGTTAAGGTCTGAACTACATTTCAAATCAGCTTTATATGTAAACTCTGCTATTAAACCAACAGTAATGTTATCTTTATATTATTAAAAATATAATATTGTGGAAAACTGACACCCTATAATTTGCATGCGTAATAGATAACATACCTGCTTCTGGCTCTTTAATGGGCTCTGGATTTGGCAGTCTCTTCCTCTTGACATCAGAACCATCTCCACACCCACACCCAGTCTTTGGCTGAGCCAGTTCCTGTTGATTAGCTTCCAAGGCAGGACCTTGCAAATAAAAAGTTTATCAATTTAAGAAGCAAAACTTGAGATATAAATAAGGGAATGATAATATTCACTCCTTCAGTGTTATGAAGTAAAAGCCTTAGGCTAGTGTGGTAATAAATGTGATGCATGAGAATCCCAAGAGCATTATTTCAGGAGTCTGTTACCAGAAACTAGGAAAACAGGGTTTTATTACCCTCTTCCTTTCCCAAGACTGCCCTCAGACAAATTAGGTGCTCCCTTTGTACTTATCCATATTGTACCTGTGACTGTACTTATCAGTGATTCGTTTGGGTCTCTCCAACTAGATTCTGAGCTCAAGGTTGAAACCATGTCTCCTATTAGTACTTAGCATATTACATGGCATGAGCAGACAACAATAAATGTTGAGTGGGGAAAAAAGTCTTAAAAAATACCTCAAACTGATTAACATTTTGTAAACCAACTGGTATGTCCTCTTCAAAAATGTCAAGTGTCACGAATGCCAGAAAACTAAACAGACATGACAACTAAATGCAATGCATGATCCTGGACTGAACTCTGGATCAAAAAAATTCTATAAAGGAAGTTATCGGGACAACTGGGAAAATTTGAATATACACTGTGTATTTAATGATTGCATATTCTCATTGTCAAATTTCCTGATTTTGATAATTGTACAGTGATTAGCCAAGAGAATTACTTTTTCTTTGTTCTCAGGCTATACATATACTAATGTACTTAGGGTAAAGGGTCATGATAGTTGAACCTTTATCTAAATGACTCAGTAGTAATAATAGCAAACATATCAGTAAGTGTATATGTGTGTGTGTATATATATAGGGGGGAAGGGAAGAGGATATGAAACAAATGTGGTAAAAACTATTAACAATCGGTGAATCTAGGTGAAAAGTTAATGAGTTAATTGTACTGTTCTTGCAAATTTTCTGTAAATTTTCTGTTTTTAGAAATATAAAGTAAAAATTAAAGAGAATACATGACAACTACATTGTACTTCAGGAAGACAAGAGTGATCTTATTTTTAATTGTGGTTTAAAAACACATTAACAGCGAATTCCCTGGTGGTCCAGTAGTTAGGACTCTGTGCTTTCACTGCCGAGCACCCAGGTTCAATCCCTGGTCAGAGAACTAAGATCCCACAAGCCACATGGCCAAAAAACCAAAAAAAACTTTTTAAAAACACGTAACATAAAACTTACCATCTTAACCATTTTTAAGTGTACAGTTCAGAAAGGGGTTATTTTTGCATCATTAGCAGAAACTAGAAATGGACTTTACATATTTGTTTTCGTGTATTATGAAACCTTTATTTTAAATGGTCTAAGAATAAACCATAATAAACGTGTAATTTCTGTATTTTGCTATAGTGTACTAAAAGCAGTGAGCATCAGCTATTTACAAAGCCTGAAGTCTATACCACGTATAGGATTTCAATTACAATTAAAATGTAATCTTCTGAAGAGTTAGCTCAGTGCATTTGCAGGCCCATGACAAATTTTACAGTTGTGACACCCACCCTCTACTGGGGTAGCCAGAAACTTATTTCATTAAAATAAACAAAAGTTATATTTAGGTCCAAAGGTCCTATATGTAACTTTCCATAAATAAATCCCATGTATAACAAAGTAAAATTATTTAACTTTTAAATTTAAAAAATAACCAAAATAGGGGTTTCCTGGTGGCACAGTGGTTGGGAGTCCGCCTGCCAATGCAGGGGACATGGGTTCGTGCCCCAGTCCGGGAAGATCCCACATGCTGCGGAGTGGCTGGGCCCAGGAGCCATGGCCACTGGGCCTGCGCGTCCGGAGCCTGTGCTCCGCAACAAGAGAGGCCAAAACAGTGAGAGGCCTGAGTAACGCAAAAAAAAAAAACAAACAAACAGTAAAATTATTTAAGAATAACAGTCAAATATACAATGAGAATAAAGGAAATGGGGTAGAAAGAAATGAAAGGGCATTGTTACCAGTCATATTCTACAAACCTTTAACAGTGGCCTGAGTTATGTAAATCTCTTGCTTCAAAATACTATATATATCCAGGGGAAATAATGTCTGTCTCATATTAATCTTAGAATAATTAATCTTTTGATTTTCCTAACCATAGAAGGATTTAACCACCATTTAAAAACCATTTTAACACAATCATACTAAACCAGCTACCTGTATGCCAGTATCCTGAACTATCCAGCTTTTATCAAACTTACCATGCAAAAATATCAATTACAGAAACAATGACCATCATGCATGACTCATTTCTGGAGCCTCTATCCTAGTACATTGAACTGGGGCAATACTGAGCTACATTACAGTACAGACATTTGAGTTTTGAGCAAAATCATTCACCTTTTTTACAGCAACATTCATGGTAGGAAGACACAAACTCTGGAGTGAAATACAGATTTTGTATTCCAAAGCCAAGTGCTCTTTGATAAGCCCAATCCTTTAGCCTCAATTTTCTCATTCATAAATTGGGGGAAATTTATTATAGTGAGGGATTGCCCTAAGCTGCAAATTATACTCTCTTCACTTCTCCAGCCAATTTTCAGGCCATGTTTGAGATCCCTTTCTATTGTTTTCTTTCCTTCTCTGACCGATATATCATAATGCATGAGACAACACATACACACACACATACACATAAACACACCCAACAGGCATTCTTCTTCCCTTTCCCTTCACCTTGAACTGAAGAGGCTCCTTCATCCTTTTTCTCTTGACCAGGTATAATGTCCTGACTTTTAGTTAGTGGCTTCTCTTGTTGAGGCTGCTTATCACCGGGCTGCTGGAACTATGGGGGTGTGTGCAAATGAAAAGTTTTGTTACTAATACATGTCAACAATATAAATATACAAAATACAAAGATACATTTGATCATGAATAAATCTAAAGACATTTTTCCAATACTATTCAGTACTTTTTTTATTTGTTGGAGCAGAGAAAGTTATATCACAAGTCCATGCAAGGAGATGAGGTGGCTCATGCCCTAAAAAGCCTCGAGCTCCCAGCATACTCATTCTTAATAAAGTTACTCTTCCCACAGAGAGGCTACTCCAAGAAAACAGTTACCCACAAGGACTTTGGAAGCTATTTTAATCTATGTCAGGATGGCTGTGTGCAATCTCTTAATAAGCATGAGAAGGAAGTCATCAGTCAAATTCCCCAGGAACGTAACAGCATTCATCCAGGCAACACCAGAATTCCTGGATCAATGTTCCTTATCACATGGAAGACCTTTATCACTGTATCTATATTAGTTCAACAACATTTGCACAAAAATTAATTTCTACTAATAAAAATCATCAAATGTTAAAACACTTACAAACACTGGCCAAACTGCCCTGGGATAGCCTTGATCATCACCTCTTTCTTTAGGTCTGTATGTTGACTTTATTCTCCGACACATATTTCCCACTGAAAACAGAACATTGTCATTTGGAAAATGCACTTAAGAGGATAAACATATTTGAACACTTCCGTGGCCAAATGATGATGTATACTATTTTTGTAATATTGAACACATTTTCAAAATAAGTCTCAAGGTAATTTAATTGTGTGTGCTTTCCAAGCACACCAACTCTGGCAACTTGCAAAAGCAATTGTTTATGTCACGGCCAACCTGACAGAAAAATCACCTTAAAACACATAGTAGGGCTTCCCTAGTGGCGCAATGGTTGAGGGTCCGCCTGCCGATGCAGGGGATGCGGGTTCGTGCCCCGGTCCGGGAGGATCCCACGTGCTGTGGAGCAGCTGGGCCCGTGAGCCATGGCCGCCGCGCCTGCGCGTCCAGAGCCTGTGCTCCGCAGCGGGTGAGGCCATGGCGGTGAGAGGCCCGCGTACCACAAAAAAAATAATAATAATAACCAAAATAACAGTAAAATTATTTATGAATACCAGTCAAATATACAATGAGAATAAAGGAAACGGGGTAGAAAGAAATGAAAGGGCATTGTTGCCAGTCATATTCTACAATCCTTTAATAGTGGCCTAAGTTATGTAAATGTTTTGCTTCAAAATACTATATATATCCAGGAGAAATAATGTCTGTCTCATGTTAATCTTAGAATAATTAATCTTTTGATTTTCCTAACCATAGAAGGATTTAGCCACCTTTTAAAAACCACTTTAGGGCTTCCCTGGTGGCGCAGTGGCTAAAGAGTCCGCCTGCCGATGCAGGGGACACGGATTTGTGCCCCTGTCCGAGAAGATCCCACATGCTGTGGAGCGGCTGGGCTCGTGAGCCATGGCCGCTGAGCCTGCGTGTCCGGAGCCTGTGCTCCGCAACAGGAGAGGCCACAACAGTGAGAGGCCCGTGTACCGCAAAAAAAAAAAAACACTTTAAAAATGTCATACTAAACCAGCTACCTGTATGCCAGTACCCTGAATTATCCAGCTTTTATCAAACTTGCCATGTAAAAATATCAATTACAGAAACAATGGCTATCATGCATGACTCATTTCTGGAGCCTCTATCCTACTACATTAAACTGGGGCAATACTGAGCTACATTACAGTACAGACATTTGAGTTTTGAGCAAAATCATTCACCTTTTTTACAGCAACATTCATGGTAGGAAGACACAAACTCTGGAGTGAAATACAGATTTTGTATTCCAAAGCCAAGTGCTCTTTGATAAACCCAATCCTTTAGCCTCAATTTTCTCATTCATAAATTGGGGAAAATTTATTATAGTGAGGGATTGCCCTAAGCTGCAAATTATACTCTCTTCACTTCTCCAGCCAATTTTCAGGCCATGTTTGAGATCCCTTTCTATTGTTTTCTTTCCTTCTCTTACTGGTATACCGTAATGCATGAGACACCACATACACACACACACATAAACACACCCAACAGGCATTCTCCTTCCCTTTCCCTTCACCTTGAACTGAAGATGCTCGTTCATTCTTTCCCTCTTGACCAGGTGTAATATCCTGACTTTTAGTTTGTGGCTTCTCTTGTTGAGTTTGCTTATCACCGGGCTTTTGGAACCGTGGGTGTGTGTGTGCAAATGAAAAGTTTTGTTACTAATACACGTCAACAATGTAAATATACAAAATACAAAGATACATTTGATCATAAATAAATCTAAAGATATTTTTCCAATACTATTCAGTACACTTTTTTTGGGGGGGGGGGAAGAGAAAGTTGTATTACAAGTCCATGCAAGGAGATGAGGTGGCTCATGCCCTAAAAAGCCTCGAGCTCCCAGCATACTTATTCTTAACAAAGTTACTCTTCCCACAGAGAGGCTACTCCAAGAAAACAGTTACCCACAAGGACTTTGGAAGCTACTTTAATCTATGTCAGGATGGCTGTGTGCAATCTCTTAATAAGCATGAGAAGGAAGTCATCAGTCAAATTCCCCAGGAACGTAACAGCATTCATCCAGGCAACACCAGAATTCCTGGATCAATGTTCCTTATCACATGGAAGACCTTTATCACTGTATCTATATTAGTTCAACAACATTTGCACAAAAATTAATTTCTACTAGTAAAAATCATCAAATGTTAAAACACTTACAAACAAAGGCCAAACTGCCCTGGGATAGTCTTGATCATCACCTCTTTCTTTAGGTCTGTACCTTGACCTTATTTTCCGACACATATATCCCACTGAAAACAGAACACTGTCATTTGGAAAATGCACTTAAGAGGATAATTATATTTGAACACTTCCATGGCCAAATGATGATGTATACTATTTTTGTAATATTGAACACATTTCCAAAATAAGTCTCAAGGTAATTTAATTGTGTGTGCTTTCCAATCACACCAAATCTGGTAACTTGCAAAAGCAATTGTTTATGTCATGGCCAAGCTGACAGAAAAATCACTTTAAACCACGTAGTAGGGCTTCCCTAGTGGCTCAGTGGTTGAGGGTCCGCCTGCCGATGCAGGGGACGTGGGTTTTTGCCCCGGTCCGGGAAGATCCCACATGCCG